GATTGGAGAGCGTAGCGATGAGTGTAACAACAACGGTGATCGAGTGAGAGATTGATTGGAGGAAGGCCCCAATTTCGAATACCGGGTTGGGGTCTTTGTGGGGTCTTCAACTTTTGAACTTTCAATCTTCTTGCAACTAAATATGTTTAAAATTTTGTGCCATAACGATCGTTGGTGCTTTGATTTTTGATTCTTTTGGTCCCAATTTGCAGGTCTTGAGGAAGAAAGGTTGTGTTCCATGAGCACGATCGTTGAGATTAGAAGGTATGGTGTTGTGGTTGAGTGCTTATGCTAATTGATTTTTGCTTTATCATGAAAATTCTACTTACTCCAATAAGAAAATAAAATATACTAATGTAAAATAATAAAATAAAATAAATGAGATCCCGGTGTTAATTTTGATTAAAAAAAGCATATATTTAAAATTTAAATTTTTAAAAAAGATTACATCTAATTCTAACAATTGTTCTATTTTAGTAAATATAACAGTAATTACATCATTAAAATATTATATAAATTTAAGAGTACATTACATTTTTGGTTCCTATGCTTTTTCAAAAGTAATACTTTTTATTCCTATAGTTTTAAAATTACAGTTTGACTATCGTGGTTTACAAAAATGATTGGATTTGGTCCCTCCTTTTAATGACCGTTAAATAATCTCGTTAGATGAAGACTATTTTCGTGTTTTTCTATTTTCTACTTTTCCTATATTTAAAAAAAATATACGTACTTGTTAATATTATAATAAATATTATATTTATTAATATATATATATATATATATATATATATATATTACACATATTTGTAGACACACGGACCCTCCCTTCCGTGATACGGACTTCCTAGACATTTCTTCGGCGAAAACTCTGGTGCCCTGCCTCTTCCAGCGGGAACTCCGGTACCTTGCCTCTTCTCCGGCAGCCGTCACCAATATCAAACACCTACCTCTCTCCCTCCATATTTCATCTTCGACGAACCCCCTTGTATTTTTTTTGGGAGAGGG